CTTTAGGCAGCAGTCTCATGCATTCAAACATCAGGCATTTGTGCCTGTGGGAAGACCTGCCATGTTCTAAACAATACAGACGAACTATTAGTTTTAACGCCTACATTTGTAATATCGAATATCCAACATTTGGGAATATAAAAGGAAGAAATGTGAATGGAAGAAACACCATAAACAAAAAACATACTATTTTCACAGCATGTGCATCTGTAGGTCAATAGGTCAGTGGGTAAAAACATGATACAGTAATGCTGAAACAAAACACAGAGACCCTGAGCCAGTGAGAAGCCTTTAGGGGAAATACAAAAGAAAAGAGCTGACATGTCAGTGCACGATGAAGGTTTGGAGAGAGTTGGAGAGTTGCCTGGCATCATGCCATCTCCATAGGGTTTCTGAGGATAACCTCTTTGTTGCCAGCCAAATCTTTCTCTCTGGGGCATCCGGATGATGTCAGATCCCTTACATTCATCAGCACAGCCGGCATCAAGAGCGAAGCATCATGCATTTCCAAAATAGACCCAAAATGACTTTCTACATTTGGATGACTGTTTTCTACTGACTCAGCAAGCCATAGAAATACAGCCAAGAGCACTTCCTACCATCCTGCTTTTCTGGCTTGGCTTTTTATTTCCAGTGCAACTACGATCCAAACATCCTGGCTGCATGGGTCTCATTGTCTCTCTGAAGCATGCCTTTGTCGAGAGAAAAATTACCAACAAGAAATTCCAATCTGTTACAAGGACATTTTCTGGCACATTAAAGTAGGCCACAACTAGAGATAATAAATGAACATGCCAGAGGAAACCGGACTAATGTAAATATTTACCCGCAAAAACCTCCAAAGATCTACATGCATTGGGGTTGATATACAAGTGATTACACTAAAAAAATTGTTTAGTGGGAAAATGATGTTGATGGAAGATGTTCATGTAGAGAAAAGTGTAGTGCATCCGAGGTAGACCATTAGTGCCTAAATCTAAGTCTAGGGAGGCAAAATACTACTGCTTTTGAATCTTTTAATAGTTCCTACTTGTTCTACCCGAAAGGGAAAGCGATGACAACCAGCTAATATCAATGTGTGAAAGTCAACTGCACTGTAACATTTGATGCATTGCCAGGAACAACAATGAACTTCAAATAAAGGTATTTCAAGAGCATAAGTTCTCTTGTATTGTAATTTCTGTAGAGATAGGAAACAGCTGTCGAGAGGTTCTATATCTAAAGGTCAGGTGACTGGAAAAATGGTGGTTTGAATCAGAACCAGGTACGTCAGGGTTTCTGGTGTCAATCATGCTCTTGTTTGTGCCTATGGGCAAGAAACCTAAACCAAATGGCTCCACAGGTGGTGTGTTGCAACTGACCCTGACCTATACGCTCCAATCTAAACTTGTATGTCCTTTTCTTTCATATGTTGAGATTGGGTCATAAGGATAACCCAAACTGAATAATTGGTGCTGATTAACAAGGATGACTAGAATGGGTAAGAAAATGAATGAATGGACGGAAAGATAGACGCATATAGTGGTAATAGATAGATACAGTGGGTACGGAAAGTATTCAGACCCCCTTAAATTTTTCACTCTTTGTTATATTGAGCTGGATTGCAGATGCCATTCCTGTTTGATTGGCAAAGTGTGTCAAGGCAAACATACAATAAAATTAAGCTGCTCTTTATAGCCAGATGCTTTGACAGCATGTAATGTTTCATTGTCATTTTGTGGTAATGCTTTGTGTGTCTGTGGCTATTCAGCATTCGAAAAAGGTAGACAAAAGACGGTGTTCAGTTGTTCTCTACCCTGTTACAACTACTCATTTCAGCTCTTTTATTCACAGATACGTGTTTTTAGCCTGATATTTTCCCTGGCAAAATCTCTGTATGGATCTTTGCCAACTGGGTTACAACAGCCATCTGTATAGTTCTTCTTTGTCCACTTCCTCTAAGCCTTACAAGCCCTCTCTTTCTTTGTGCAGAACAAAGTTCTTACAGTCAGATTTTAGTTCTTCGAAGATCAGCAGGAATTTTAAACCATAAAGACTACATCACAATTATAGTTTTTTTTCTGAAACCAATTCAACAAAGAGCTGGGTGGGTTCCACATAATAGCATTGAGCTATATGGATAAAAAGACATGATAATAATTCATTCAACAATGGCTATGTCTGCTGAAAAATGCTGACTTTGCATGCAATGTATAAGCAACAAGGTTTCAAACATTTGCGCCTCATCCTGTCTACCAAGATACCTTCATCTGGTTGTTTTTGAAGGCAACATTAATGTATGCTTGATTTTCCATTAAAAACATTGTGTGGGAGGTTAAATTATGAGAAAGTTAATAAATAAATTTCAATTTTAATGTTCTATATTTTTTCTAAATCTGTTATTCCATTTTTATACAAAAATACATTTTTTTACATTTTTATTAACTAAATGTTTGCTTGGTCATCACTAAAGTTGACTAGAATTTGTTTTAGACCATTAGAAAGTATGTTACTATGTTTTTGGAAGCCTGTTTGAAACAGTTTCGGCACCATCATACACAAAATGCTGCCATTCACTAACTAGGCAACCATGCAGTTGCCTTTTCAGACACCGTCAATGACTCACTGACCCACATACACATAACCTGAAAACAATCCAAACTTCTACAGTAGATCCCACCCCTTAAACAACTGCAAACATACTGAACATGAACTACACTAAGCAGTTTTGTTCTTTCAAAACAAAAATCTTAGATAATATTATGTCTGTGTTATAAATCTACAGTTGCCACACATTTCACTAATACAAATATATAAATGAGCTCTCTGCAGGTATTGCCTTCTTCATATACATAAATTTTGTTTATTCTAGTAGCATATCTTGAGTAGATGCCTAACAGGTGAATGGCAACGTTGCATGCAAATTTGAAATTCATTCGCTTTTAATGTTTTTATATTTTATAGTCCTTCTATTGAGGCTTATATAGTATTTGCATGGAGTGCAAATAACTCATATTGAAATTATTTATTTTAGAATTAGTTTACATTATTTGTGTATGCATTTGCTTAACAAAACATGTCTAATATATTTCAAGTTATCTTTATTTCAAGTTATAGTAACTTTTGTTATCTTCTACTTGCTTAAAATATTTTTAAATGCACTTACCGCTGCAGGTTTGTACCTGTGGCTGTTTCCGTCTGGTACCGGTAGAGAATGAATGCACACTAAGCAGCATAAGACTGCAGCGAGAAGCTGTGCAGATCGCATCATCCTGATCGGATTCAGAGCTGCACGCACCACCTGCGCGCGGCCCACTTTACTATACGAGCGCGAGGGAAGGCGGGAAGAGCGCGCGCGCCTGTCTGTCGAGCTTTACTCTGACCAAGTACAGACTAGCCGAGGGATTTTATACTCTCTGATTTCTTTGTTCTCTTTTCTTCAAATTACACTTTTCTTTCAGAGGCTGGAGTGGCAAGCTCGCCGGCAATCACGTGATCCAGCCCTCCATACCTCTGGCGTGCTCCGTCGCGAGAGGGGCGACGGTGGGTAGAGAGCAGGATTGGTTTTCAGTGATGTGGCTTAGTAAGAGAGGTTTAGATAGTGACTGTCCTCTCTAACATTTGGATAAGTAATGATATGCTGTTAACATTTTGTCAGTCGCTATATTGACAACGTGTCTGCCTGCTAGTGTTACAATTTGTGATTTTATGCCAGTTTATGAAGTGCGCCTGTTTCATTTAACCCTCATGTTCTTTTGCATATTATATTAATTTACTAATTAAAAATAAATTAGCTTTTAATTAATTTACAAATAAATGAATATATATATATATATATATATATACGTGTACAGTATATATATATACAGTGGGGAAAATAATTATTTGATCCCCTGCTGATTTTGTAAGTTTGACCACTTACAAACAAATTAAGGGTCTTGAGAGTTCAAACAGCTGGTAAAAACATCACAATAATCCACAACATGACTTCAATCCATCAGTTAGCTTCTTGTGAAGTGAAAAGCTGCGTGTTTGAAATAAACAAATCCATCATTAATGTGTTTTAATTTAAAACTGCCGCTTCTGGCCAAAATACGAGTCCATAATACATAACATCTCCCCCAGTAAAAAAAAAAAGAAAGTCCACCCCCTGTTGTCCGCTCACATCAAAATCTTCCAAAATATTTGTTTAGAACTGTTTTGGAATGTTTTTGCACGCAAATAGTGCTTGTTCCGTGCTTATTTCTCTCCTGATTCAGAAGAGACAACTTTTTCACTGGAGAAAGCAACAGAGAACTCGTATTTAGTCACAAAGCAACAGTTTCAAGTCTTAATGATGAATTTGTTCGTTACAAACACACAGCTTTTTGCTTCACAATATGTTTATTAATGGACTAGAGTGTGAATTAATTGTGGATTATTGTGAGTTGTTTATCAGCTGTTTGAACTCATTCTGACGGCACACATTCACTGCAGAGGATCCACTGGTTAGCAAGTGATGTAATGCTAAATTTCTCCAAATCTGTTTCAATTAAGAAACAAACTCATCTGGATGGCCTGAGGGAGAGTAAATTTTCAGCAAATTTTTAATTTTGGGTGAACTACTGTATAATAGGTTCATTTTTAAACTACTAATATTAAAACATAAAGCTTTAAAGTCTGTCTCAACAGATGTTATAGTGAGAATGGGCCCCTTTACTAAAGTGTTACAAAAAGTTTGTTTATTAACATGAGGCTGAGAAATGCTTTCGGATTTGCAAACAGATGAACTTAGAAAACGAAAAAAAAAAAGACAAATAATTCTACATACCATTAAATCAATCAATCCTCTCACATGTTGAACGTCACGCATCTTATAAGAAAATATAATTTTCTACAGTTCTACCATGGTGGTTTAGAAAATTTAACAAACGCTTAAGGGTAAATGGAATGGTTACACATACTATATTTACATAAAAATAACTAATCGCATACGTCAAAAAAAAAAGAACTTCTTAATCGATGCTCTTTTCTAGAACACTGACGCGCGCATGCGCCACAAATGTATAACCACAAGGTCAAAGGCACGTGCGTCTACCGGCTGTCATTCAGGAGTCTGTCCGTGGATAGAGTTTATCTAACTACCTTCGCGCTTGTTTGCGACCTTATAAGAATAATTGGGGATTGATTGCGGTTACGATCTACTTTTGGAATGGCAAGAGGAAGTCGCAGTCGTCCTTCACCAGCACAAGCAAGGTATCTCAGACACTTGGCTGATAGTATTGTAACGCACACTGCGTTGGCGAGCTGCAAGCTAACTTTGACTAAATGTAGGGGTAACGTTAGAAGAGCATCATTCAAGAAAAACACCAGACTGCTCATAAAAACATTAGACTGAATGTTTGTTTGTTTGCTTATTCCTTTTGCGTATCTCAAATACATCCAGAACAGTAGGTGGAAGGTCAAACCAAAAACATGTTATTCTTACTGACCAGGAGTGGAAAACCCTTAATATCTGCTTAGTATTTATTTATTTAAATGTATTTATTTATGCATAATATATGTCATTTGGTAGCCTATGACGTAAACCAGGTTTAAGACATTATCTTCTTTCCATCTGAAGTTGCCAAAAGCAGCTCAAAGACATTTCTGGTTAATTTCTGATTCTGGTTAATGTAAAATATTCATTCTTTATATCCTATTTTCTATGTATATTCTTTACGAGGCATATGCCAAGATAAGTTAAGTAACTACTTTTATGGGATTTTATAGTGACGTAAGTGGTTTTATACTTGGTTATTCTAGAACTTATTTCACCTTGTTTTCTTCTCAGTGCTCCTGCCCCATCCTATGCCCCAGCCCCCGCACCACCACCTCCTCCGATGGCAATGGCCCCTGCCATGGCCCAGCCCAAGCAGCCAGGTCTCATGGCCCAGATGGCCACCACAGCTGCTGGAGTGGCAGTCGGCTCGGCCGTAGGGCACGTGATGGGCAGTGCTATCACAGGTGCTTTCAGTGGAGGCAGCAGCAGCAGCTCAGAGGCACCCAAACCAGCACCCACATATCAGGTGATACCTGAAAAATATTTCTAAAACATATTTCTCGGTGAAAAACATTTTTGACGAATCATCACAACTTGTTTTTTTACAGAGTGTAACACTGCTGCCCACTTTTTCTGCAGCCATTGCCATTTAAAAATTGTAGTGGCCACATTTTT